ACAATAAATTCACATTAAAGAATAAAAGAAAAGAGAGATGGTTTACCTGATTATTTTTGCAAGCTGCGAGTCCCCAGAGAAAAAGTTTATGTCTGGATGAGTGCGCATCACATCTCGGTCAATCTGTTCTATGATTTCTGACTCCTACAAATAACCACATCCCCAAAATAAGAAAACAAAAAAAAGTTTGAGAATTGAGATCAATAAATACTTCATTCATAGATTCTATTAAAAACTGAAAATCAGAACTCCCTTGCATTGCTGTCACACATGTTCTAGAATTTTGAAATTATACTCGGCTAACGTATGCTCAACTAAGCATTGATGGAAACCGAGTTGGCTGAATTGCATGGTCTGTATAATTCCCCCTCCTTTAACTTAGGTTAAGGCTTGCATCAATAGGATGTTTGTATGCTGCAGTCTTTCCTAATATATTGCTAAACTAAATTATTATTGGTAAATTATAGAAAGATCCAATGCCAAAGAAATTATTATTGGTAAAGATATACACTGCAAAGTATAAAGCTAATATTCTCCAAGGCTGCATGTTGTGCAAAATGCTTCAGAAATAGCTAGCATGAAGACTACTAGACTGGCTCATGTTTTAAAACTTGATTAATTCAAACAAGATTAACCAAGTTTTTTTCAATGTTATATTTAACACATTCAGACAATAAAAGTTTAAAAACACATGGAATGATGTAAGTCTTCCAAAATCTTTTTTCAAAAAAACCTAAGAAGGTACCTGGAAGAATTGGTTCCAGACGCTGCTTTTTCCAAGGCTCAAAGGATGCTCCCCGTGAGTTATTTGTGATCTCGACAGCAGACCCTTGCTCTCAGATTTTGATTCATCGATGTCACAAGCCACAGACTTCTCCAACCTCCTTGTGATTTTGGACTGACTAGCCACAGAAGCATTCAGAAACCCCAAAACTCTTACAGGAAAAAAAGGAAGTGAAAGACAACAACCGCAAAAGATAACACTGCTTTTCAGGAAGATAACGCAGAAAAAATAAATAAAATCATGCGAAGTCGTTCTATTATTAGGAGAGAAAATCAATGTACAGCCAGCAAGAGATGGATAAACCTCACTTTCTCTTATTAAATAGTAAGTTGCATGTTCTAGCTCTATGCTAATATCGGTTTCTTTCATCTCTTATCCACTTAATACTTTATAGATTGAGTTGGAATTTTACATTAGAATCAAGCAAAAAAACTAATTGTATCATGCTTCGGTCATGTACACTAGTTTATAAAGCAAAAGGTAAAGAAAATGACTTACAGGATTCATCAAGAGCTCTTCCTTAAAATGCCTGTACTGAGACCTTTTCCTAGCTAATTCTGAAGACCACTGCCCACGTTCAGGTGGTAAATACCCCAACAATAACTACCACAATAACCAAACAACACGGTTTTCAGTATTAATCCAAAAAAATAACCACATTTTCCGAGGAATTTCCACATTTTTCGAATTTCTCAGCAAGCAAACAGTAAAAAGGGAAAGGAAGAAACACTACCTTCCACACAGTAGATCTAATCCCTGCACCATCGGGAAGTCCCTGCGACGCAATCTTCCTCAATTCCCACATATTTATCACCTTCTTAGACAACTGAAAAAAATAGAAATTAGAAACAAAAATGAATGAAGTTAAAGGAGAAGAAGTAGAAGAAGAGAATCGGTTAATAAAGGAGAATACGTAAAAAAATACCTCGGGTAAGAGCTGAGCCTGGTGAGGGATATCATTGGGAGAAGCGTCAAAGGAGTCGCCGTTCTGATCATTACCACCGCTATTGCGGTTACTATTTTTATTTACAGGATCCCTGGTTTCGGATTTCGGAGGAACAGGAGTGGACTGAGGTTTCGAGGCGGCGGCTGAGGCGGCGGCGGGAGGAGACACTGGAGCCGGAGGCTGAGGAGTCGGCTCGGAGAAGGCGGCGGAAGCGGTGGTTGGAGAAGGGGAGTTGAGGTGCAGGCGATCGTCGGCGGGAGTTGTGGACCAGAGTGAACTGTTGAGCCAATCAGGTACTCGCTCCCTCACCATTTCAAGATTGGAATCGAGATTTGATCTTTCGAGAAATCAAAACAAATGAACTAATTAAATTAAAATTTGAGAAAATTGTGAGAGAGAAAAAATAGTAGGGGCTGTTTAATGTCGAAGAACGTTCGAGTTTCGAGTGCATGTTATTGGATTTGGAGTCACGGGACCGTGATAGAGTGAAGGTGAATGACCAATAAGAAAATGACAAATATAATTTTACTTTTTTTCATACTTTAACGAGGTTGAGTTTGTTTAAATTACAAAACAAAAACAAGTTACTTTTATTTTATTTTAGTATATAAACTTTTTATTTTTTCATAACTATATTTAATATTTAATTTTTATTTGGTATAATAATAAAATTACTCCTTTGTACAAATAAACCCTTTGCCCCATACTTTTTTTTTGAGCATTTTAGTTCACAACATTTTATTTTAAAGCAAAATGTCCTTAGATAAATGAAAAATATTAATTGACTAACTATCAACGCTTTCTATTAATGTAGTAGATTCACGTGTAATGTCACATCATTTAAAAAAAATTAAACTATTTTTAATATATTAGTCTTATTAAAAGTAAAAATATTCAAAATTACAGTAAGAATTTAGATATATCAGTGTAAACTAAATACATAATTTGAACATTTTTCTCTAATATTGAAACTAGACACTTTATATCATATAAGGACCATGCATGGAAAAAGTAAAAAACTTGAACAAAAAAATATAGCTATAAACAAATCTGACTGCATCGACAAACAAACCACAAAAGGAATTAAACTATTGAAAGACCGCTGAGATCGTAAATCAGAGCTGAGCGTCGTGAGAAACTATCCACGAACGCAAAATCACATATCCAAATTCAATCTAAAGATCTACAACAAGGAAGATCAACAATACCACGAATAAGTGACATCGTGATAAGTCGTGGCGTCGTCAAATTCAATCATGAGAAACATAAATAAAAGAAACGGCTAAACAACCGAGAGAGAAAATGAAAAACATGCCACAAAGGTAGAGATAACATAATACAATGGTATATATAACGTGTTACAAAGACGAAATAATTCTTATTAAAAAAGAAAAACGAAATAAAGACAAAGATAAACGTATTACAACGACGAAATGAGCTTTAAAGGGATCTTGAGATGATGATTGCTTTAATGAATCGCTACTGTCAGAGACGGGAGGTTTAGGGTTTTTGAATTTGGAGGAAAAATAGTTGGTTTTAGCGAGAGAAGAGTATCGTTCGAGGAGTAGACGATTACTTTTAACTTGAACTGTTGTTGATAGGCTTTGTGTAGAGGGATACATTCATAAAATCGGAGTCTTTAGGCTAAAATACACAAGTAGCCACTAAAATATGTTGAAATAGTCCTTTTAGCGACTAAAATTTTGAAAATTATAACATAATTATTAAACTTATCAAACTATTATAAATGCAGTAGAGTACACAAATGGTCCCTTAATTATAAGATATTATTTTGTTGAGACTCTCGACTATTAAAAGTTACAAAATAATAACTCAACTATTAGGAAGTTGTTGTGTTGAGTCACCCAATTATTAAAAGTTATAAAATGATCACTCAACTACTCATTATGTTATACACTTGTCTTTTCCCGTTAAAAAATTAACTGCCTTATGATTTTGACATTGACATACCGACTATGATACTCGTTTGAGATTATGAGATCATATTTTATCACATTTTAGTCCACATGTTAATGTTCAGCTACTGACTAATGTTAGCTTTTTAATGAAAAATGACGAGTTTAGAATATAATGAATAGTCAAACGAGCATTCTGTACTTTTAATAGTCGAGAGAATCAACAAAGCAACTCCTTAAAGTCAGATGACTATTTTATAACTTTTAATAATCGATGACTTAATAAAACAATATATTATAGTCAAAGGACCATTTATATACTTTATCTTATAAAATAATCAATATATGTTATAAAACAATGACACATTTTCATATAATTAAATATCATTTTATAACCGTTTAATAAGTTTAATGTTAAATTTTAATGTATATTTTATAATTATATGAGAAATTTAATGATATTTTATATCTTCTAAAACTTAAATGATTAAAATAATTATTTTACTACAATTTAATAATAATATATATATATTATCCTAATTTTATCTTCCATTATTAAAATTTATTGAAGTGTACATTATAATTATGGTTATTAATCAAAGTATAATTTTATAATTTTTAATTGAATTTAATTTAATGTCATTTCATTAAAGTATGATCGATGTAATTAATAGATTATTTAATGTTTAATATATGAAATAAAATATAATTTTATAAGGAGAATAATAATTTAATTTTCATTAAAATAAAACCATATCAATCATTTTCACCGCTTCTCTTATTTTCTTTATTTTTAAGAAGTTATATATTAATTTTTTTCATTATTTTTAAAAAATGTTCTTTAGTATTTGATTTTTAAATTTTTAAATTATTTTAAATATTATTTGGGTAAATTACATGTTAAGTACTTAAACTATTAATTTAGGTCTATTTTAGTATTTAAGCTTTTATTTTTTAAAATTATACCTAAAGTTTAGTTTTTGTTTCATTTTAGTACAATGTTCAAAATTTAACGTTAATTTTTGAAAAGATCGAAGTTCTAGGTACTAAAACGTACCAAAACTGATAAAAAAATATCAGGTATGATTTTTAAAAAATTGAAATTATATGTATTAAAATGTATCAAAACTGGTCAAATGAAAACTAAATATTAGATATGATTTTTAAAAAATTAAAATTTTAGGTACTAAAACTGATCAAAACTGATAGTTTATATACTAAATGCATAGTTTACCCAAAATATCTTTACCTACGGGTAATGGAATCCTACTTGTAATGCAATTTCTAAATCTGAAAGTGAAAATAACACGAAGCGGGAAAATCCTCAGTTCACCGCCACCTGTCATTCTCCGTCCCCAAATAAAAAAACACCCAAAACTGTTTTCCCATGCGCCTTGCATTTTCCCGAGAAAATTAAACAAATTTTACCAAGAAAAATGATTCGATCCTCGTGAAAAAAGAACTCTAAACGGTCGATACCCTGTACCATGAGGTCGATCTATGACCTCTTTTTTAACTTACAAAATCGGAAGCTTTCCTCTTCAATTCTTTCATGGACAATCGAGAACAAGAAGACCGAGACAGAACCCTAATTACCGGCCCGAAGCAAATCAACACCGAACATGAAAATTTGCAAGTAATTGAATGGGAAGATTTCGAGAACGAGCTAGCTAGATTGTGGAGTTTAAGTTCTGCCCTCAAGGAAGCTAATGAGAAGAAGCGAAGTCTTCAAGAGAAGCTCCAGTCACTCATTCAGGTAATGATTTTTTTCCTGATTAAAAATTGGTTAATTTTGTTCTTGAGAAATATGTATCAGAGGATGAAGTTATAGTATTTCAGTTGATACGATGTTTTATTTTCTGTGTTTGATTGATAACTATAGGTTATTTAGTCATGGAGCACAAAGAAAATAGATTTCTGGTGTCTATACCTAAATTATTTACTAGGTTGGGTGGCATAGGTGGTGAAATTGGTAAAGCTAATTATTGCAGGTTGGCATATTATGACTTCTGTTGGGTTGCTCAAATGCTTCAGCAATAATACTAGGCCTAGATTTTTCGATTAAGCTTTACTGGATAAAGTGAGACGGTAATTGTCTCGGTGAATGGAACTTTTCCCTTGACAAAATTTGAGTATTTAATCTGTATATTCTTTTTATTACCAAAAGAACATTGTTGATTCATTTCAGTTCCCTTATTGCTTCATTTACTTACTAGTTGTGCTTCTATCAACAAAATAAGTATATTTTTTAATTCTTATGTCCTGGTTTTTTAGAAATTGGGAATACTTGGTTCTTTTGTACTGTGTCAAAATGTTGAAATGGAAGTTGTCCTTTATTTGGCTGGATGCCTGAGCTTAATTTGACCAAATAGATTTATAGTTTTAGTAGATATGAAAATTTGAATTGATCAAGCCATATGACACTTGAAGGACCTGGTGAGCTGTAATTTAAATTTGTTTTCTTGCACCACACTCACTCTCTAGATTTGATAGCATGTGCCTAATTACTTGACCGGCTGATTAGCGGACTGGAACTTTCTATGCAGGTAAAAAATGAGTCGTTGAATAAACTGAATGATCTTGAGGAAATGCATGAGAGACTAGAGGCAAGAAAACTAGCGATGGCAAACATGTCAACTCATTGCAAAGTTACAACAGAGGATGCTAAAAAAGAGGAGGAAATGCTTAGCACTGAAGTGAGATCTTTGTTGGTTTCTGGTACCTCTCTTTCTGTAGCAAGGAAGCGATTGCAGGTGAAGGTTTTTTATTCTAAAAATGTCAATTAGCTTTAGAAATTCATTTCTATATCATCTGGTGTGTTGAATTTATGATATTTTTTAAGTTTTATTTTTATTAAGTTTTAGATGTTATATATTCTCCCCTCCTCCCCCTTCCAATCTAGAAGACCATCTCTCTCTTCCCGCATTCACCCTGTGTGAAGGTGGATAAGGGGCTTAAATCGAGATGATTCTCATTCTACGAATTCCTTTGAATAGTCAAGGATTATAGCCTTCTTGCTCTCCCACATCTTTTCCTCCTTTTTCAAATAATTGGTTGGTAGTCTTTCATGCATGGCACGGTTGATTATCTGTTGGTTTTATTACAGGAAGCAAATAGATTACTCACTGAAGAAAGGGGTTATGTTAAACTTAAAAATGTGCAAAGGAAGCTTCGAGGAAGGCAACAATATATGATATCACAAGTTTCATTACTCTATCCTGTAAAGATCTTGGTTGGACCCGCACAAGAGCAGGAACTTGAGTCCTATTCTAGCAGTAGTAGATTAGGTAATGTGCTAGTAGTTTTGGATTGCTAAACCTTTGCAGAAAAAGGCCCAACATATAGTTTTAATTGGCAGTCAATCTCCTGGGTTTAGAAAACAATTTCTCGTTCCTGTTTTGTTTGTGGTTTATTCCGATACTTTTAATTAATGTTTATCATCTCCCATATATCATCGAGAACCCAGAGTTATGATTGTTATATTTCATACTCTTCCCCTTCCGCTTGTTGAAATTTTGGATGTTCAAAATGGTTTGAGGAAAGCTTTAACGACAACACCAGATTGTGTATTTTACATAGACCTAGCTATATTAGACGGACCTATATGGTTGTTTTACTTAGACCTATTAGACATGATACGATTATATGACACAAACATATGGAAAACTGATTAAAGCATGGCATAATAACAAGAAATAACACGAACATGACATAAACACTTGAATGTCTTGAATATTGTGATTTTTTGGACGTCTTTTACTTTCTTGGTTACACTTTTTGACTCCAACAAAATGGTGGTACCTGCTAATGTGTTGTTACTAACTACTTTCTGTTGTCATCTCTAGGGAATTCTTCTGCATCTAAGCCCGTTAGTCAAGGGTCCTTGACGATTTTAGGTCTCAATCTCTCCATGCTTCCTTTTACAAAGATGAGTTTTTTCACCAACAAAAAGGAGGTTCAGAGATCTGCAAGTGCCTTAGGATATGTTGCACATGTGCGTTCCATTGCTTCTGCATATTACTGAAATGGTTCCCTTTTCTTTAATAATATCAAGCTTTATACATCAAGTTTTTTCTACCTATTTCCTGCAATTCATTGTTGCTTTAAGATGCAATAGTAATTTTAGATTGCTATGATGTAAACATAGTATCTTGGGCCTAGACTTGTTCATTCGTACTCATTCTTTCTCGTTTCCCCTTATTTCCTCGCTTGCAGGCTGTTCCACTAATTGCATCGTATTTACAAGTTCCTTTGCGTTATCCTCTGTGCTTGGGTGGCTCTCGCTCATATATTATCGACCATGTGCCTTCAGTAGAGCCTGCATCTTCTCATTGGTCATCGAATACAGCGCTTTCAGCACATGTAAAGCAAGCAGAATTTCCACTGTTTTTAGATGGTCAAGACATAACGAGAGCAGCATATGCTGTATTCTTGTTAAACAAGGTGAGTGTTCTTATATTATCAATTTATTTTCCAGGATGAATGTTTCTTTCATCGTTACGATATTCGTTATGAAATGATCGCAAACTCGTCGTTATATTTGCAGGATATAGAGCAACTTTTGAGTTTCATCGGGGTCAAGAGTTTAGGACCGCGACATGTTCTGGCAAATTTGAAGGAGCTTCTAAGGTCTGTCCAATCTTCAGAATATATCGATACCTGAATTTCGATTTTGTTGGATCAACTGTAATTAGCTATTTAATACGATACGAATGAACAACCCGGTTTTCTTTACACACACGGCACGGGTGCGGATTTTTTACCAACCCCATTTTACAAGAAAGAAACCTTGAAAAGATAGCATTTTTGTTGCTATAATAAAAAGGGGGTAAATTACGCATTTTTTACCTAAACTATCGGTTTTGATTCGTTTTAGTACATAAACATTCAATTTTTTCAAAACCATAACTAACGTTCAATTTTTGTTTCATTTTAGTGTCCCACCGTTAAAAACTTAAAGCGTTTATCAGTTTTGATATCTAAACTTTCAATCTTCCCCAAAACAATTAACGTTAAATTTTGAATAGGGGTATTGAAATGAAACAAAAATTAAATTTTAGGTATGATTTTGAAAAATTCAAAAGTTTATGTACTAAAACAAACTAAAATTGATAGTTTAAGTACTAAACTCGTAATTTACCCATAAAAAATAGGTTTGGAATTTGTTTGGATAAAATGTTTATCGAAAGTTGATTAGATTTGGAAATTAGTTTATTGTCTGGAAATGTTGAATAGAACTTTGCAATATTTTATTTGATAAACTACGATTTTGATCACTTTTGTTTTGATTTTGTGTAATTTTATCATTGAAATTTTAAAAAATGTTTTGATCAATTTATTATAAAATGTAAAACAAACAAGATACTGAAATCAATCACAGACGAAACAAACCAACTTTGATCAAATCTTCGTGACAGTTGCACACACCTCCTGCAGATGTAATTCGTAAGGAAATTGCCGACGGTCGAGTACCGACAGGCGGTGAAGCACGTCTCGACGAAAGAAAACCAAAGTCCTCGCCAATATGGATTGATGTGGAGCACAACAAAAGTCGTCAACAACATAACTGCATAGGAAACCAGAAAGCTCACACGAAAAACATACAAGTCTAGCAAGCTATCTTCTTCTTCATCGTTTGATGCAGTCGGTACGGTCGATGGCAGATCGATTTTCGAGCAACTTTTATGTATCATAGGCCCACAGAGAAAAGGGTTCCCCTCGTAACTGCTTTCATAGAAGGTCCCGAGTTGAGCTTTCTGTTCCGGAATACTACCCGACAAGTTGTTGTGTGCCACACTGAAAAGCTCCAAAGAGTCCAACTCTACCAACTGGTTTGGGATTTTACCAGCCATGTTGTAAGAAAGGTCTAAACTATCAAGTTGCTTAAGTTTGGAGAATGACGACGGAATAACTCTGATCAAGTCATTGTGTGACAAGTTCAAAGAATGGATTTGGGTCAAGTTTCCGAATTCAGGCGGAATTCGACCGGTTAACCTGTTGCAGGAAAAATCAAAACCAGCTAACATATTAAGGATTTTGCCACTATATGATAAGGATGCACTCTTTGTTGTGAACTCTACAGATTCTTCCATGTAGCTGCTTGGATACTCATCATCATCCGTACCCTTCTTCCCAATTTCGATGTCCAGAAGATCGTCGGTTCATCTTCTTCAAAAAATACACCTTGAGTTAGAACCTTACAGAAAACATGTTTTGAGAAAGATCCACGATGCTTAAGGACTGCAACTCGCATAACTCAACCGGAATCCGGCCGTGTAGTCGATTAGCTGTCAAGAGAAGAACACTTAAGGAAGAAAGTGTACTAATCAATATCGGAATACTTCCGGTTAAATTGTTTCCTCTAAGATCTAATGTCACTAACGAATCACTGTTACAAAAATCAAGTGACAGTGGACCACTTATTATATTTTCATGCAGGTGGACGTGCTTTATGCTCAGGGGATTCAAACAGGATGGCAATGAACCAGAGAAATTGTTCTGAGAAAGCTCCAGAAACTCCAATTCATTCAAGTTGCAGGATTTGATCGGAATCGAACCGTCAAAGCTGTTGTTCGACAAAGCTAATCTCGACAAAGACGACACATTCCCTATCCATCTTGGAAGCTTTCCATACAACCTGTTGTTACTGAGATCAATTTCCACTAATGAAGTCATGAAGTCAAAAGTAGAAACAACAGTATCTTTCATCTCACTAGATAAATTATTCCCATCCAAATACAATTTCTTCAATCCATTGGCGTTGAGAATTGCATGAACTACATTTCCAGTGAGATTATTATTCGATAATCTCAGAATCCTCATCGAATTCTTCATGATCAACTCTTCTGGCACTCTCCCAGCCAACTGATTGTTTGACAAATCCAAAACTGATAAATTCTTCAAGTCACTCAAACAAGGAGGGATACCACCTTCAATGGCATTCTTGGATATGAACAACCGTCTCAAATTCGGGAAAGTCGAACATATATCAATCGGGATCGGACCACGTAATTCGTTATCGGATATGTCCATCGAAGACACATTAAAACTAGGAGCTGATGGCAATGAAAGGGAACCAGAAAAAAGCATTACCTCTCAAGATCAAATACTCCAAATTTGTGTTGTTTTCCAACAACCAAACCGGGAGTTTCCCACTGAATTTGTTCCCGAAAAGATCCACATATCTCAAGTCATATTGATGACGAAGAAAGGCAAGAGATTCAACACTGAGTTCTTGAGTTGTTATGCACTTTGAGACACCGATGACATTCAACTAGAACTTTGGGATTGATGCATGGAATGATGAAGGTTCCATCACCATAGAGGAATTTGAGGTTTAGGAGGTTCACAAGTGGTACAAATGATGTTGGGATCTGGAAATGGTTCTTTGAGAGAGAGAGATGTATGTGAGTGAGTTGAGGTTTGCAAAAGGAGTTAGATTCCCAGAAAATTGATTGTTGGAGATATCTAATTCCCTGAGAGATGTCAAGTTACCCAAACAATGTGGGAACATTCCCTTGAATGCATTCCAACTCAGATCCAACACTTCCAGATTCTTTAGATCACACCATCCTGTAAAAAAAAAAATTAACGTTATATTTTGGTTCTATTTCAATCACTCGTTGTTAAAAAATGAATGATGATACGTGATATTGTTTTATTTGTCAATACTGATGTGGATTTACGACACGTCAATATCATATTCTTGTTTGGTGAACTACGTATTTAATCACCCAACTATCAATTTAGTTTCGTTTCGGTTTCATTTTGGTCATCCGTCATTAAAAAATAACATAACCACTGACATGATATTTTTTTAATTTATGTTCAATGATGATTTGATACTGGTTGTCATAATATTATAAAATCATAAGATATTGATTTTTCAGATTTACTGATAAGGAAAATGGCTTATTTAAGTCGGCTTGGAAATTCAACCATTTTATTTGAATAAATTATATTATTTTTTATATTTTAACTCACCTAAATCTGTTTATAATACCTCAATAAGCTATACTTAACGTGTGATCGTTTTCACGTAAAGAAAAGATAAGAAAGTGGAGTACGACTAACACAACTGACTACACTATTGTTATTTGTATTTGAAGTTATAAATATTGAGAAAGGAAAAATAATTTCATGTAATCTGTGTTAAATTTTTAATGATGAAGTATTAAATTGGAATTTAAATTAAACGTTTGATATAAAAAATTAAAGTTTAGATATTAAAATGGAATAAAATTAATAATTTAAGTATTGAACATATAATTTATTATAAAATTTAATGAACAAAAATCCTTTAAAATTTGATGATGACTATTCTATGTAGGGGTGTGTGCAAATTCGGGTACCTGGATTTTCGGGTACTTGATTTCCAGGTACCCAGAACTTCCGGGTCGACGATTTCTCGGCCCCGTGTCCCGATCCAGATGTTACGGGTATCCGGTAATCGGGTTTCCGGATTTTACAGGTATCCGATACCCGATTTTTAATTTTTAATTTTCAATTTATTAATTTAAAAAAATATATACACAAATTTAAATGTTCGAAACTTCGAATTACATACTCTAATATCCGAACATAAAATTTAAAAGTTCAAAATACAAAAATATAATAATCCATAATATAAATAATTCATTTATATTTTATATAATTATATATATAAAATAAAAAAAAAACTAACCGGGTACTCGGGTAACCGGGTACCCGGAAAAACTAGATTTTGTGACCCGGGCCCGACCCGGGAAATGTCGGGCCGGGTACCCGACCCGGCCGGGTAATTTTTTTTAGAGAATTACTCGGTTTTTTTAGATCCGGGTCGGCGGGTCGGGTCGGGTAATTTTACACACCCCTAATTCTATGGGTCTTTACTTTGTAGAGAAAAGAGTAGTCTTCTCTTGTACCTGAGTCGTTGCAATTATATCACAATTTGTGCCGTTCACATTGGAAATTTACTTAACAGAGAAAAAGAATGGTTTAATATAAAAATAAGTGCCTAAATTATATCTAAAATTAATTTTTGGTATTTAAAGATTTTTTAAAAAAAATTAGGTGCCTAATATTTTCTCTGTTTCACTTTTAGGTGTCTACCGTTAAAAAACTCGTTAAGTGACAGTGTCATGTTTATATATTTTTTATTTTTTTAAAAGAATAAAATATTATTTAAAAATATTTTGTTTAAAAAAAATCTGAACGTTCACTTAACTGCTTTTTAAACGGAATTTAAAATATAACGAAGAAAACATTAGGTACCTATTTTTAAGGAAAAATTCCTTAGGTACTAAAAGTTAATTTTGGAGTATAGTTTAGGCACTTAATTTTATATTAAGCCAAAAAGAATCGGTGGTCAACATACATGAACATAATATCATTATATGACCTAGTCAATAAATAAAACTAAAATATTATATGAGAAAATAATATAAACATAATATAAAAATATATATGAATTTATTAAAAGCTTTAATAATTAATGCGTTAATGTATTATTAATAAAATTTGAATTTATGGTTAAATATAAGATGAGACATTAAACTCTTTAATAATATTAGATATTCGTATTTTAATATTGTAAATGAAAAAAAAAAAATTGGACTTGGAGGATCGTCTTTATGAACAAGTCTCTTTAACGTTCAATCTAAATTAATCTATCGATTGATCAGATACTGGTGATTAAAAAAAATTAAACTTAAAATTTATATTAATAAATAAATAGTCCTAATACAATTTAATTTTAAAATAAATAAAATATTTAAATTATATTAATTATAAATTTAAGTAAATTGGTGTATGAACTTGATGAAGACTCCGGCAAGTTTTAAGTCTTGTGAGTTGTCATTTTGTGGTCAACACTTTGGACGAAAGTGTGAGTTGGACATAGAATGGTGTAGTTTAGGTTATTAATTTTTCTGGGCATAATACCAAAATTAGCCCCAATGTTTATCAGAATGGTCATTTTGACCTTATTCTATTTTTTGAAACATTTTAACCCCTAACATTTTATTTTAGGGCAAAAAAACAACTAACATTTGACGGAATAATCACTTTGGTCCACATTCTTTTTTTTAGAGTATTTTAACCCTCAAGATTTCATTTTAAGTTAAAAAAAAGACCCTATTTTAATACTTTCTATCTATAAAGAAGGTTTTTTTTCCCAAAGTGAAACGTTATGAGTCAAAATACTCCTAAAAAAGAATACGAGACAAAAAGACCTTTTTGGGTCTTAATTTTGATATTATGCCTTCTCTATATCATATTACTTGCTGCCAAATATATTTTCATACAGGTTCCTTCTAAATTTCTTTGACATGTGCTTATAGTGAATTGTAATTAGGAATGTGTATTTAATCTGAATTTGATAGGCTTTGATTCAATTCGATTTTATAGAATGTGATTTTTTTTTGGTTATACAAAATTTAGGTTTAGGTCAGATTTGGGCTTATTGTGAAAAATATGCAACCCGACCCTATAATAATAGTATAATTTATCTTTATATAGTTAGAGATGATTGATCTCCTAAAAGTTCAGTAACTGTATTGTAGGTTTTAATGGTTCGATGACTAAAATGCAAATGTCCTAAAAGTTAGGGACAACTTATGTAGTTTACCCAAACTTCGAATATCAAGTACTGACATCTATGCATGCTACTGGTAAACTTGCGCCATTAGATTCTCAAGCTGGCAATTGGAGCTTCACATTTTTCTTCCAGCTGCAGATATAGACATAACCAGATACAATCAAATTAACGACGGGGCGAAAATAGATTATAAATAGAAAAAACAAAAAGAATACATAAAATATATAATAATTTGAAATTTTTAGAGGTGGCGGGTTGGTCCGTCCCGTAGTAAACTGGTTTTTGGAGGGATATAGGTGTTTTACCTCTGGAAGTAATAGTAGAAGAAATCAGCATACAACAATGTCTGGACAAGCCCTGAAATCCAAGCTGAAAAAAAAAAGAAATCATATAAACAATGTGTTCGAAATAACATATACAACATTAAATATCGCAAATGCATGCCCATATATATATATATATACAAACATTCTTCATACACCTATGATCGAGACGAAGAGGAAGATAGAGAGAGGGAAGACATACTTATCCAGTGGACAAAATGCTCTTCGGTAAAGTACCGATAAATCCAGTTCAATATGTACAATGCTCTGTATGCACTGCAATGAGAAGGAACAATATTAGTTCCTAACTGATAATTTAGTAATGAGAAATTCGTATATCACTTCTGTCTTTAAGTTTTTTGGGATATGAATTTCGAGATTAACGAGAACTTTGGTCCGACACCATATCAACTTTTCTTGCTAAATTAACATGGAAGGAGGCAAGCAACATTATGGGGAAATGAAAGCCAGGAAGTAAGGGTCCTTCATGCAAGGTAACAAAATTACAGCAAGCCTGCAACTGATTAGGAAATATATGTCATACAGTGGAACTTTAAATTTACCCGAGGAGAAAAACATATTGTCCGGTCAAGTTGTCAATATTTCTAGTCCGTTGCAACAATACAAGCTGAGGAAGTATGGCGACAGCTTCCAAATACAAGGAAAATGTCCACATGACCTGTTCAACAGTTTTTTGTAAGACAAATAGCCAAGATATGAAAATATAGTCAGAAATGGATGATTTCTTAATGTAAACACATCGATAGTGCACGTAACTTCTAAGACAACCGGAATGAATTTATCGTATAGAATCATGATTGTAATGACTACACGGAAATGGTTGTTATATTTTCCAACAAACAGGAAGGAGCATGTTGATACCTCTTTGAAGGTGAACTTCTCATTTATAAGAAGGGCAAGAATCAGGCAAGGCAGCATAAGGATATAATGCCGAAATGTATCCTGGTCCTTATCATAAGATCTACGAACTATCTTGTGATATCGCATGTACCATACAATTGAGAAAGAGCTTCCCAGGAATATTAGCTTCATGATTGTGTTATAAGGCGAGATATAACTAGTGAATATGTCCAAGTAACGAGTAGCAAAGACTATAGCATAGAGTTCCTGCGTCTTCAGGGAAATTCCTGCACAAAAAATATAGGACGAGTGGACGACATATTATAGAAAAAAGATTTAGAGCCAGAAAACAGCTAACACATGACAAGGAGTGCGAGACAGAATCAAATCTTTCCCTTCAAATCAAATGTTGTGGCATGCCTATGAATGAATACAAGCATATAGGATTCCTACTTTTAGAGTTCCATTACATACTATTTCTTTTCTTCCTATAACAATAATCATGGTTGAAATGCTATAAGCATATCTATGCATATGTAATTTACGAAGAAAAAGCTCGAAATACTCCATCAGAATGTGATAGAACCTCCGTAAGCATATAGCCACTTAATCTTTGCAAGATTTTGCTCACTGAATCCTCAATTGATAGCATCTCTAAATTCTATAACAACAGCCTCATGTCTTATCAAAAAAATAACAACAGCCTCATGTTCCAGCAAGTAAATGGCTTTATCGACCCATGAATACTCCATCCATCGCACCTCACAGCATCATTTTAAAGTGAAGGAACCCCCCCCCCCCGACTAAGGTAGTTGTGCAAATGGAAATAATCAACTTGATCAAGCAAATAAAACTATAGGTGGCATTGCTGCTTCAAATCAACTTGTAATAGGGCGAGAAGAAAACCCTATCTCAGCTGTGGTTATAGTTTAAGGCACTCGTCGTATACCGATATAATCAAATTCGTCTCGAAACATGAGGCCAGCAAGACATAAAACCGCTTGCTTAAATTTCCCACAAATGTAATCAGCTTATCGATTTCGATAAAATTTCCAAGGCATGATAAACACTCATTGCAAACTTCAAACCCTTAAGATATTATTTCTACAAATTGAAAGAATACCAAAATCCACCAAAATCCCCTTGAACTCAACAGTGTCACTAAATCCAACCACAAACTAAACTTTAACTCAAAGTAGATTCTTCTAAACTTCCAATGAACATATAAATTCAAATTAGTAGAAATGAACTCAGAAAATACAAGAATTTATATTCCAGACACATGAAAAATGCCACATTTTTAGCAGGCTATAGTTCAACATTTTACACGATTCCGATTTGGGTATTCAATAAAATGTTAAACAATTCAGAGAAACCAATAAATTAACAAAAACCCACAAACAATTTAATCTAAATATTGATTTCTTTTCATCTTATGCAGTAAATTACTGAAGAAAAAAAGTAGAAAATAAAATGAATTGAACCCATAAAAAATGAAGTAAATATTAGGAAAAAGAACGTACCGGCACAAGATTTGATTGTGTGGATCTTGAGAAGCAAAACAAGAACACTAAGTAAATGGGTCATGTCCCCTGCTAATCTGAATATATTCATCTTCACCTTTCGTTCCACTCAATATTTCTCAAAATTTTAAATAAAACAAAACAAAATGTAATTTGACTGATTTTGCTTCTGGTTTCAGTGTGCGAATCAACCGGGAAAGTTTCTTTCTGGGAGGGGAAAAAAAAGGAAGATCTCGGATTGATCCAAAAGTTTATTTACTCCTTTGGAATCCCTCTCCTTTTCCCCAGAAAACTATTTACTCCTTTCTGAGAAGGCAGGAAAATGAAGGAAAAAAAGGAAGGTCAAATCCTGTCTTTAGTCACTATACTATTTATAAGTTATTAACTTAGTCCATGTCCTTTAATTGGTTCAATTTCATTTTTTAATAGTACATGGTGGTATGGACCAAGCGACCTCAGCGGTAAAAAAATTATTATTATTTATTGAGGTCCCGACTCGAGCACCAGGAATATCAGAGGTGTGAGTGTTCAATGTCAAATGGTTTAGAGTTATCTTTGAACAGATAATGTCTTGTACTTACAAACATATTGTAAATGCATATACTTGAATCTGAGACCTCTAGGGAGAAAAACACTCTCTTTAACCACTAAGATCGTTTGATGGATTCCAATTTTAATTTTTATCCTTTAAAGTTTTAAAAATTCAATTCTGATTTAAATAATAAAGAGACTAAATTTTAAGAATATAAAATTATTAAATTAAAAAACAAAAAAAATTGATAACTTACTCATCATATAAAATCTAATAAACTAAAAATAAATCATTATAAAAAATTAAAAAGTACATGAAAAAGTACTAAATTAAAGAGGTATTATTTTTTCTAGAGATTCCAGATTAGAACAATTGTATCTATAAGATATGCTCGTTGCAGATAATTAAAAAAAACTTAAACAAACATTACCTTATAATCATTTATATTATGTAAGAGAATATGGACTAAATACAAAACTTACATGTAGTACATGGACTAAAAGAGAATTTGACCAAAAGATTTATGTATTTCTCAAATGGGCCTTTGTTTGGGTTTTGAATGTATAATAGAGAGACTAATTTCTGGATGGGCCTTTTGGGTCTCACATTAAATGAGTTAACTAAAGTTGAGATTAATTACACATTAGGTGTCTTAATTTTCAATTTGGTACCAAATAAGTTATATTGTTAGTTTGAAATGGCTTTTATCTACTCATTGGCATCGTTAACCGGTGCCGTCTACTTGATGTATCAGATTTATGCAACCTCTGGTGTCCAATGTTCCCTTGACGATGATAGCGAACCACGGGATCACGGAACAGATCGAGAAGAAGGCGTTTGCGGCTTATAGTGCTCGATTTGCATTTCCGTCGGACGAGAGAGGATCGTCGTTGATGTCCTATTATTCTTTCAATGCAGGTGAGAGTTCAGAAGGACTAATTAGTGTATTTGTGTCGAATATGTACCCTGTATCAAGTACTCACCTGTAAAACCGAGTGCCGTAGGAGCTAATCTCTGTATTCTTTCAACAGAGGATCAATACCGGTGGTCGAAGACTGACCTTGCGAAAGAAAGTCGATAGAAGAGTGACTCCTTGGCTGGTCGCAACACGGCATCCTCCGTGGTACAGCACATGCACAGCATGGAGGATGCACTTTGAGAACTGATGGTTTGTGTGTTCATTTGGCAATAACCACCAGGTTCATGCCTACGAGAAGTCGAACCAGGTGTGTGATTTCAACTCGGATCCTTGAGGTCCCGTACATATCACAATCGGTGATGGCGGCAACGGAGAGAAAATGGCGATTACACATGCGGACGAGCTACCGTCGAAGACTCCGGGTAAATTTACGGGTGGATTTCGTGCGTTTAACTTCACATCAGGTTCAGCACCTGGTAAACTCTGCTGGGACATGCAGCCTGATTATACTGCAGATATTTCGTTTAGGTTCTTATGGATAAAATTGAATGATTTTATTCGAATAATCTTTCCGAAATCGTCTGTTCCATTCGATAAAATAGCTAAGAAAGAAGGCTCCAACCTCTAACAAAAACGCCTCTTCCCATCATGGTTTAAAAGTTCCAAACTGGGTGCAAAATAAATGATAGAACAAGTAAGATCATGATGAACATTGAGTTTTTGGTGACTATGCCATCTAATGAAGCTTTAGATTCATCTGTTGTGGGAAATGGAGGGGTGAGTCCAGCGTTATTTATCTCGGTACCGCCATCTCCGCTAGTGATCGGGGCACTTGTCGTGGTCGTCGTTGGTACATTCGGGTTGTTCCGTGACCCCGACCCCAGTGTAGCGATCCCTCCGGCCGACCTGGAAATTTCATGACCCCAAGCTGTTAAAATCATAAAAATGGTAGAAACAAGAACTACAGATAATTATAGAGCAACACGTTAAGCAATATGCACTACATTGACCCAATGCACACACAGGTAACCCAAGTACTAGTGACTGTAATTGTTTCATGGGTAAATTACATGTTTAGCACCTAAACTCAGTTTTGGTCTGTTTTGGTACCTTAACTTTCAATTTTTTTTCAAAATCACCTATTTTAATCACTCTATTTTATTTTATTAATAGTTTTATGACATGATATTTTTTATTATTTTATTAATATATAATTTAAAATTAAAAAATAAATTTGAAAGTTTGAGTGATTAAATTAGGAATAATTTGAAAGTTAATTAATTAAATTAAAAAAATAAATTTAAGTATTTAAATTAAAAAAATAAACTTTAGTGACCAAAATAGGATTGAGAAGAAATTAAGTGATGAATGATGTAATTTATCCATAAAAAAAGTGTCACGTGAAAATCACATGTTTAGTTTTTAAGAACGAGGAACTAAAATGAAATAAAAACTAAAAGTTATGTATGATTTTGAAAAAGAGTTGAAAGTTTATGTACTAAAACGGATAAAAACTGATAGTTTTAGTACTAAATTCGTAATTTAGCCTTGTTTTATCTCCGCCAAACATCCTCCGTGTGTCATTAATACTCTGCATATCGAAGCCTTCGGAAAACCTATTCATAGGTAAGATCTTAAAAAGACATATTCGAAGAAAAAACCTCAAACACTTAACATTCCTCAAGAACCTCATATGGTACGAGGAGAACGTCTCCGAAAGAAAGATCTCGAAGATCTAACTTCAAGAAATTGTGACCTATTAGTAAGAGTTTTGATAGGTCCATGTGATTTACCTGGACCAAATTTATCGTCAACCGATTATATCCGTCTAATCTACAACTATTAGACTAGTGACATTCACACTATGATGAAACTCATATTAAACCACCTCGCCCTCTATTAGAGTTGATTCAACTTTGTTTATATATATTACTATTTACCAGCACCACTGTCTGTAATCAAAAGAATGCGTGAAACTCAAGAAATCACAGCAAAATCCTTCTAAAGCCACCCAGCAAACAAAAGGAAAAGGAAAAAGAAAAGGGAAAAGGAAATACACCATTGTTCATTTCTTTTCATAATTCAAGAGAAAAAGAAACACATACCTTTGAGAAGAAGGGTACATACAAGATCCATAACCTACAAAAAAAAACCCATTCAGAAAATGAACAAAAAGAAGTAAACTTGAAGTGTTTCCAAAGAACAAACTGGGGTCAGTTTTAGCAACAGTGCCGGTGCCTGAAAAGTCACAGGAACCGGGAGCCATGGCTCGACGTTGATAATAGCTACTGAAAGCATAAGAAGCATGAGCCTGGATTGTATTCGGAAGAAAACAAAGCCCATCGGACTGTATAGGGCCACAATCGGCGCCGGAGCCGCACGCATAGTCGAGTGCGGTCTGCAGTGCCTGGTAACTCGCGTCGCTCCGAGCCACGCACCAGCTCTGCGCTCGAGCAACCGACGAGGGTTTTATCAGCAACGAGAGGAAGAAGAAGAACAATGCTGGTTTGGAGATCGGTACTGCCATGGAAGAGAGTTAATTTGGTAAAGCAAGACAGAAGTCGAAAAGAGAAATATTTTGTATTTGTATATGTTTTGGTCGGGATTTTGGCAAAGGAAAGAGAAAATATAATGTGATATTCGTAGAATAAGTATTGGATTCTCTTATTCTGGTTGGTTTTGCTTTGAATGGTTGATTGTAATTGGATCTCTTGGATTCTACTGAACTGGATTCTCTAGTGCAGTGAATCTTCAGGAGAGAAATATTTTTTACAATATATATATATATATATATATATATATATATATATATTAATAACTCAAATTTTTTTATTTATAAGTACAACAGATGGAATTTTAATAGGTAAAATATACAAATGGTCCCCTGACTATATGATATTATCTTATTAAGTTTATCGACTATTAAAAGTTACAAAATGATCATCAGCAGAAAAAAAAAAATAAGACATGCAGACAGGAGATCAGACTATCTTTCCTTGTTGTTATTGGATTAGGTTTTGCTCACTGAAGGTAGCACCTCTGAGTTGGTCTGAAAGTTCAGGTTGGAGTAATTAGAACCAAAGTAGGTACCTCCTTCGACTTTTGTCACGACACTTGCCCCTCCATAGAGTGTCCCTTTGCAGGTACGAGTAAGGAACTTCGTACAGACCTTTGGTCGCTACTAGATTAACCGTAACCTTAGTCATTGGCGGCACGGTAACCGTGGTCTTGACTTCCAGATCGGTGGACGTTTGGAAGGCCTTTCCCCACTCAACTCCCGTTCCAACTTCGGCCGACAATTCGATGCTTCCATCGGCAATCAACGGGACACTCATGTGTATGCCTGTCTTCATGCCCAAGGTTAGCGAAAAATCAGTCTTCCAAGAACTGGTCTTAGTATCTCTATATGCAAGCTTGACGTCCATAGTGGATGGCTGGTCGGTACAGTTGCTAACGGAATCATGAGACACGACCAGGACTGATTGGTTGTAAACCCTAGAATTATCGACATCATAGTTGACATCGTAAATCTCTCTTGTCAACACAGCCTTCTCCACCCTGATTTTGACTTCTTCGGTAACAGAGGTGATAACTGCAGCAAGAGCATTGACGAAAACGAGGTTATCTATCGTGTACCTCTTGCAGAAATTATTGTTCCCCAGGTTGATTTGGGCTATGGTCTTCTCGTCGACTTTGATGGGGCGAACCAAGGTGTAGACATTGTTGGTGGTTGTGTCATCGGAATCTGCTCATATCCAGTCGGAGTCTACCCTAAAAAATTTCCCAGTTTTCGAGCATTTGATGCGAATATTTCCGTCGTTGGTCGGGACAATCTCGCATGCCACGGTTTCGAGAAGACATGCTTCGAGGCAACCACACGACCGTTGAACCGAGCTCACTTCGGCTTTGGTTTGCTATGTGTGTATACGTAGTAGTGTTGATCCTAAAATTTTAAAATTATCATATATTTTAAATATTTTTATTGTATTTTGTATTGAAAATATATTTTCGTCCCTCAAAATTTTAAATGTTTATTCTCACTTTAAATTTTAGGGATGGGCACGAGATACAAACTCGATGGGTTTTGACTCGACCCGACTTGATCGGGTCAATTTTTTTTTTAAAAAAAATTCATGTTCGGATTAGGTCCGATCGATTTTTTAGAGGTTATGTTCGGGTCGGTCGGGTTTGGATTTAGGGTTACAAATACTCTACCCGACCTGACGCCAAAAAATATAATTTTACCTTATATATTTAGGGATAATTACAATAATACAACTCTATATATTATTTTTTCAGTTAAATCCCTATTTTATTGAATAAAAATAATATTTTTTTAATAAATATATTATTTCAGGTCGGATCAGATCGAGTTTGGATTTTATCTCAAAAAGTCAGATTGGTTTCGAATCGGGTGGATAGTGTATATTTTTCAGGTAAGATTGGGTCGGATGAAGGATGTATAATTTTCGAGTTTGGTCGGATTGACTGAAACCCGACCCAAATCCGACCAGTACCCATCCCTACTCCTAACATATAATGATGCTCAAGTTGGGTTCGAATTTAGGGTTAAAAATACTCGACTCAACCTGTCCTAAAAAAATATAATTTTACTTTATATAATTTAGGAAAATCGATATAGTTTGGATATTTATTTTGATATTAAGCCTTGTATTTTCTATTAAAAATCTATTTTCGTCTCACTGAAATTTTATAAGCTCAAATTTATTCCCTTTAAATTCAAATTCACCAATCTAATATAAAATTTTGCGTCAGCCCATACAGGTAAGACATCGTTAATCACATAATTAAATGACAATATGAATAATACGCACAAAATTTTATGATTAAACCGATTTTATAAACGTAATTCAGAAAACATGAAAAGCAAACATTATTTCATCTCGCACTATGAAATTTTTATTATCCTACGTGCATGCTTTTATGTTCCACTGTTCGTCCTATTTTTTTTATATATTGTATTCAATTTCGGCATTCATATTAATTTTGGCTTGATCAATTATTATTTTCTTTTCTAATTTTTCAAAATTATTAAAATATATTTTAAAAACATCTTTAAATGATGATTAAAGAGAAAATAGATGCTAGGGGTAAATGAATTATTGTTATTTATGAGGATTTAGGTTCGAGTACTATAAATATTAGGGATGTAAGCGTTCAATGTTAAAAAGATTAAAATTATCTTTAAAATATTATCTTTTATTTACTCTAAATTATTTAAAAAATATATATTAAAATTAAAATTAAATAAAATAATTGTTTGAACTCGACAACTAAACATCAATCAATCAGACATGGGCTTTAAAAAAGTATTTAAAAGTCGAAACACAAAAGAATTGTCTGAAGTTCAGGGTTTCCAGGGAGGAGGAGCAGCTCTAATCTCCGATCAGATATTGTATGGTCAGTGGAGGAAGGTAAGAGGACTAGTAGTAAAGGTGTATAAAAAATTCGAATATTTGATTTTGCGTAAAAAATACCCGAAATAGGATTTGGGAAAAATCGGTTTTTTTAAAATCGGATCAGATATTTAAAAATCGGATAGTATAACCGGTTTGGGGAAAAATTGGACGATCAGATTTTTTACCAGATTAAAAACCGGTTTGAAAAAAATTGGATAAAAAATTGGTTTTTTATCCAAAAAAATCCGGTCTGGATTTTAAAAACTAGCCGTTGGGGGGTTTTTGTGACCGTTTTTTCTATATACATCACCACCGGTTTTTTTATATCCGGTTTTTTTAAAAAAAACCGAAACTTGTTATACCGGTTACACCATCCGACCCTCCAAACCGGTTAGGATCCGAACCGATTTTTTTAAAATCCGATTTTTTAGCTAGGTGAAAAAACTGGATCGGTTTTTATCCGATCCGGATCGGTTTATTAACCGACTTTGTGCATGTCTACTAGTGGGAGCCATGATCTCCCCAAAATTTATAAAATTATAATATAGACCCTTAAAATTTTAAAAAAATCATTTTGCCCCCCAATTTTTAAAAATTCAGATTAAACTTTAAATTTTTTTAATGTTCTTGATAAAAACTCCTACCATAATTTCTAAAAATTCTCAAAACACCATTTGGAAAAAAATGTAAACTAAAACCTTCAAAAAATTTAAAGATTTTAATTAAAACCTCTAAATTTTTTAAAATTTTATGTTGACTCCCCAAAATTTATCACAAAGTTGGCCGTTGTGTGTATGGTCAACCGAATGGCATAATGAGAAGAGCTGAAAAACAAGTTCATTGGGGGGAAACTAGACTTGGCTGCTGATATAGATCTTCAGATTGTACGTATCACATCTCACCATGACCCTCGTTCATGGGGAGACGACGTTCATATTTTTAAACTGGAGAGATTCGCCGAAGGGATCACCGAAGCCACCAAATACAACGCGACCGCGTTTTCCCCTTTCGGCCTCGGACCTCGATCTTGTTTCGTAATGACGTTCGCAATGACGGGAACGAAGATCGCTCTCTCCATGCATGATTCTACAACGTTACACCATTTGCATTCAAGTAATACTCCACTCACTGCATAATGATGCTGATATAGTCTAATGCTTGCATTTGCAACATATTTCGTCACTCTTGTGTATGCGATTTCATGTATAGACTAATAGTGATCTCATCTATTAATACTCAAAACTTTTATCGAGTTGAATCAATCAGAGTTGAGCTTTTATCGAGTTTTGACCGAATCAAGTTCAACAGTTCATTAAGCATCCTAGTTATGGATGAGTATTCTTTATCGGAAAGATGGTGTTTATTCAAAATCATAAAACATCTGGTACACAGCACAATCAAAATGAAGCAAAACCAACCACACAAAGAAGAAGAGCGAAGACCAGAATCAAACACCTGAGAATGACAAGAACCAAAAGAGGAAACAACAATCGAGACTTGCAAATAAAGTAGAATCCAACAGAGAAATGAAAACATAGCAGGAAAAAAAAAAAGACATGCAGACAGGAGAAACTATCTTTCCTTTTTGTTGGATTAGGTTTTGTTCACTGAAGGTATCACCTCTGAGGTGGTCTGAAAGTTCATGCTGTAGTAATTCGAACCAGAGTAGGTACCACCTTCAACTTTAGTCACGACGCTTGCCCCTCCATAAAGAGTGTCCCTTTGCAAGTAATAGAAAGGAACATCGCACAGACCTTTGGTTGCTACAAGGTTAACCGTAACCCTAGTCATCGGCGGCACGATAACCGTGGTCTCGACTTCCAGTTCGGTGGACGTTTCGAAGGCCTTTCCCCACTCGACTCCCGCTTGAACTTGAGCGGACATTTCGACGCTTCCGTCGGCAATCAACGGAATACCCATGTCTACGGTTGACTTCATGCCCAAGGTTAGTGAAAAATCAGTCTTCCAAGAACTGGTCTTGGTATCTGTATATGCAAGCTTGACGTCCATAGTGGAGGGCTGGTCGGTACAGTTGCTGACGGAATTATGGGACACAACCAAGACTGATTGGTTGTAAACCCTGGAATTATCGACATCATATGTGACATCGTAAATTTCCCTTGTCATCACAGCCTCCTCCACCCTGA